CAACAAAATAACTAAATTAATTATTTTCCGTTTAAAATTTAAAATATCTAATTTCGTAAAAAACTGTACTTTATTAAATGTCATTAAGAAAAAATTTGCATCGGTCATCAATATTTCATTTTTTAGGTTTTTGGGTTAAAATATGGTATGTATTACATTTTCTATGTAGTCTTGCCTAAAAAATTTCAATATTAATAATAAAAATAATAATATTTTTAAATTTAAAATTTAAATATTTTATAATTTTTTAACTACTAATTAATTTGCACATTTTAGTAATTTTGAAGAAATTATTATAGAATTTGAATTAAAAACACTTTTATACAAGAACTTCGGGTTCTTTTTACATTTTCTACCCTTAGGCATGCAATTTAAAAATATGTTTGATATTTTTTTAATACCAAATACCTATAATAAGGTTTAAAAATTGATCATGAAATTCCTCATAATTTATAAGTTATTCTTATAGAATAAATTTAAAAATATTAAAAATACACATGCAGATTTTTAATTGAAATTTGAATTTAAAATTTGTTATTTGATTGTTCTTCAAAAGTATTATGTTGAAAGATTTGAAGCTTTTCGTTTCCATTTAAAATATTATTTACTATTTGAAAAAAAAAAATTCAAAATTTTCAAATTAATTTTATATTATTTTTCTTGTTTATAGTTTATACCACGAACCTCTTTACACCGTTCTACGGTTAATTTATAATTTAACCCATTGACGAACACTACTGCTATAGCAGTAATTTACAATTTTGATGTTAGGTGGCATGTCTGCTATAGCAGTTATGTGAAACATTTCATATTATGGCATTACTGTTATAGCTGTACTTATTCTAATGGTATCAAATGAAAGTAGACATCAGACTGCCGCATCGTGTTAGGTTAGATAATTGGGCACTGACATATTTTTATGGAAATAATATCAATAAATTAAACAATTTTCTATTTTTAGAATTTGGGTTTATTATTGTTTATGTTGTAATTCTATTGACTCGCGTTATCTTTATTAACTGTTTTTTGAAATATAGTCGTATTTACAATAAAATAAAATAGCAGAATTGATTATAAAACAATAATTTAATATGTCGAACCAGACGAACGATGGCGACGGTCGACTAACTAGTACACACTACACAGCACTATTATACTCAACAGATATACGCACTGTGCAGTTGCTCAGTATCTAATACGTCTTATGTTTATTTTCGCCGCTTCAAATATGAACCGAAAACAGATTAGTGAAATTCAAAATTATTTAGATGAGAGTGATAGTGATTAGTAGTTCTAGTTCGTTTTCTTGTGGGGACGATTCGGATATCGATCCAAGTTATGAACAACCAAGGCCACTTTAAAATGTTTTTATAATCATACAATTACAAATACTATTGTTTATATTTAACTTCTTATAATAAATAATAATAATACAGATTTATTAGTTATATAATATTATGAAATTATTTATGATTTTGATGTATTATAATCAAAAAAATGATTACAGCTATAGCAGTAATGTCAACTTACATCAACTTTTCAATGTACGTACAGCACCACTGCTATAGCAGTAATGATTTCGTTACTGTTGTAGCAGTAATAAAAAAGTGCGTTTTAAAAGCAGGTTATGGGAATTTAGATATATGAAAACTGTCCGTCAATATTTAACAATATTATAACTACTAATATTATGTGCGATTCTTTTTCGAGAAAAATTAGTTTAATCTTACCGTATTATTAATAGAATAAAAACTTACTTCAAGAAATAAAACTATATAATAAAATTGGTATTCTAAAAATATATGTTGCAAACTATTTTCATTCTAAATAGTTTTTCGTATCATCACTGAATTCAATTCATACATCCAAATCATCCAATATAGTGAGTGACCAGTCACTTAACGATGAAGTATTTTTAAAACATTTTAATCTATTATTAAACGTGTCAAAATAACGAATAATGAGAGAAAAGTTAATGTACAATGAAGAATAAATGAACTGAGATTTTAAACGAACAAAATAATTATAAAAATTAAGGTAAATAATATATACTTATTTTTTTTTTTTGTATAAAGTTTGTGTTGAACATATATTTAAATATGTTGGATATAAATATTATTGGATAGAATCATAATTTTGTTATTGAATTATAGTGAAGCATTTTAGTATTTTTATTTGTGAAGTAAATTATACATTGTACATTGTTGGTACTAAGTAAATGTATTGTTGATATGTTAATTTAGGGGATTTGTTATTATTTTTAAGTACAAAAAAAATTAATATCTTTTGAACTATTTGTATTATTAAAGCGATGTTAGACCAGATACGACCAGATAACCATATTATCTATCTTCTTCATATCACACAACATTCAACACTGAAAAAATGTTGTGGGTAAATATTACTAATAGAAAGTAATAATTACTTAAAGTCATAGCTTTTAGAAAAAAATATTTTTATGTTGGTTGTAGATGTATCCAGTGTGCATAATGTACTTGAATAATTTTAGTATATTGAACATTGTGAATACCTATAATAATAATGTTATATAATACACTATGTAATATTATAATCAATTTAAATAATAAATTTCATTTTTCATTCTGCTGCATATTCCTTAGTATTTTTGTTATATTTATGTAGTTCTCTTTAGAAGCGTTTTCAAGCTTTTAATAATCTTTCAAATTATGTTCATTATCTATGTTAAATTTTAAATCAAAATCGATAGGTAGATATTGCATCAGACTTTTCAATAACAACAAAAAGTGTTAGTAGTTTCCACGAAAAAAGATAAGTAAAGTAAAAAAAACCTTATAGTTATTGTAAAACTAATAACTTTTGATCAAATGGCTCTTTTGGTTTGTTGAAGAGATTAGTATACAACTTATTAAGTTACTATAGCACTTGGGTCAAAAACGTGAAGTGAGGAGACAAATATCCAAGACTCAGTTTGTACCCAGATCATTTTTGTTTATTCAATTGATTTTTGTTTAATTTAAAATTTTTAATTTAAAACAATTATTAATTTGATAAATATAAAATACTAAAAAAAATAATGTAAAATAAATATTTTTTAAGAAACTATAAGATGTGGAAGTAAATTAATTCATAGAATTTAAAAACGTGTAGATCAGTAAAAAAAATTGTATAATATTTAATTTATTATAAAATAAAAACATGTATTTATAAATAATTCAATAAAATGTAAAGTAATTCTCATAAAGTAATGTACAATAAATTAAATACAAAATTGTTCTTAAATTATTACAAATTATTTATAAGCAGTATTGATATAATCTAAAAAAATGAGTGAAATGTAATATAATAAATATTATTAAGGCAAGTAATAATTTAAATTGCAGTCTTAAGCTACATATCTACAATAATAATTCGCAGCAGGTTGTAGGTAATAAAATCTAAGAGAGTTCACAATGTATCCAAATTGAATATATTAAATGTTTGTATTGATAAACATTTTTAATGTAAAAACTTTTAAAATCTAAAATAACATAAAAATAACAATTAATTTACCGAAATTAAGTTAAATAAAATTAAATTAAAGAATTAAATTAAACATTCAAAATCTAAAGTGTTCATAGTGTTATATACTAAACAATTTATCAGATATTTAAAACAGGTATAAATTAAAAATAAAAAATTTTCATATATCAAATGTATTTTATAATAATATACAAATAATAATGTACAAAAAACATGTTGTTCTTTTAAATGTGCTTAAAATTATAATTATAAATTATCAGTTCCACAAATAGAGGAGATAAAATTTAAACGAGTATAAAAGTAAATAATTAATATTAAATATATTAGTTGTAAATAGTACGCATAATATGTCTATAATACCTTTTAATAGTCAGATAGTATTATTCATTATAAATTACGTTGTAATTGACTACATTTTAAATACTCATCGATAATATAAAAATAGTAAATATTTTTTCAGTGTTTATTTGTATAGATTTTCATGAAAACACATCTACTAATTTAAAATAATCTTACCTCGAAAATATGGGTTAATATGGATTTTTTTTAAGTGAGCCATGCATTAATTAAGTAAATATTTGTAGTTTATTTTTTATGTAATTTTAACTATTGATTATCTTTTATATTTTATTTTATAAAACACATTATATTTTGTTAATCGAATTCATTTTTTAAATGATAACTAAGTAAAAAAAAAAAAATTTAACATTTTAATTATTCTTAGACATTATGTTCTTGAGGTTCATTGTAAAAAAAAAAAAATTGTCCATTTGAATATTATATTCAATATTTTACGAATAAATAGTTAAACATATAAAACATTTTTTTAAATTATAAAATAACAAATGTATCTTAAATAGTTATATATACATAATAGTAAAACATTTAATTTAATGAAAAGAGACTAAAATATTTTGATCGATATTGGTTATAATAGGCAATATTGTGTGATATCTTGAGATCCATTATAACCAATTTCTAATGCACAGGTATAATATTATAAATTTATTTTTAACAATCATATTTAATTAAATATTACAATAAATATTGAACACAATACAAAATACATTATTACTTGTTTAATATAATAATTTGAATATTTAAATATACCTTATAATTTTTAACTAACCTCGCGATAAAAAAAATATTCAACGTGCTCAAATATATCAGTGTCAGGTCCAAGTATGATCTAAAACACAAGTGTTAAAATGTTTGATTTTAAAGGAAGATTAAAAGTAAGCCACTGTTACTCCATAGAAGTACTTGTGTATACAGTAAAATAGCGAGCAATGTCATTTTTGAAACCGGCCAAAATTGTTAGTTTAATAAACCTTAATGAAGTGTTTTGTTATTTAATAAAATAGATGTATTCATGAAAGTGAAATAAACATCCTCTTTAAGCACACCGAGGGACTTGATAAGGATGTAGCATATTATTATAATCTACCTAAATTCACACGTTCAATAATAAGCTTACCCCTCTCTATAGTCATGACTAGTATTTAAATAAATACAGCATGCTTATAGCTTGACTTGGCTGAAACAGCTTGTATGGTAAAAATCATTTCAATGTTGATCGACGACAAACAACATTGATCATTAGGTTAGTTATAAAATGCATGCACTTCACGACTTAGAATTTTTATCGAAATAGATTTTTGAAACTGTTTTATGTTTTTATAGCTAATGTTTGACTTGTAGCTGTAGCTAGGTTGCTATGGCTCGCTGGTTTTTGGCTGCGTGCCTTTTAGTGACGTTTATTGCAGTACAGGGTTTGATAGTGCCTAGGGGTTACCGTTTAGACTTACACCCGTATCCAGGTGACGGTGTATTTAAAGGCAAAGTCCGCATTGACATCATTAATACAGGAAATCAGTCCGTAGATTCTGTTACACTAGACGTACACTCAACTCTCAATGTGGTCGATCGTGAGGTTAAAGTCACTCGTGTTGCGAATTTGGACTCGTCAGAAGAAGATGAAGTTTCGATGGAAGAAACGTATGTATAGAAAAATAATTTTGTTTTATTTTTTGAAATCACAACTGTATAATGTTTAAATATTTTATAGTTCATTAACAGTCACAAAATTAGAAATACGAAAGGACATACATAAGTTTCAAATTACAACTAAGCAAAGTCTTAAAAAAGATGTTACATATCAAATAGAAATTTTATTTGACGGGACTTTAGGAAGTGATTCGTCTAGTCCATTTTATCAATCAACGTATTCTAATTCAAAACATTCACAACTGAAGAAGTTAGTCCTTAAATTTTATCAATTATAGCATTATTATTTTTGAAATATATTTTTAGATGGTATGTAGCAATGAATTTATTGAAAGGAGGAGGAGCGCATTATGTATTTCCTTGTTTCGAAAAACCTAATCTGAAAACGTGGATAGAGCTATCAGTTGCGCATAAGGGAGACTTTCATGTTCTAACAACTATGCCATTGGTTGATACAACAAATGTGTATGTATATTATTCTTATATATATGGTTAAAAAAAGATATTAACGTTTTTTTATATATACAACTTACAGAACTTCTGAAGGCGTATGGGTTCGAGACCATTTTTCTAGATCACCGCCAATGTCTGTTAATTCTTTAGCCATGTTCCAGTCTGATTTTAAGCATCCACCAATGGGTGGTAAGTCGTATTATAGAAAATAGTTAAATTATAGAAATATAAGATAAATAATATCATAATTCATGTGCAGAAAATAATGGTGCTAAAGTTGGTGTATGGGGCAAAGAAGATATTTTAAGATCGTTGAATACGGCACAAAAAATGCTTCCAGCAGTTCTAGTTAATTTGGAACTTTATATGTCTAGACCATATCCTCTACCAGAATTGAACTTAGTGGCACTTCCCGGTTATACTGATGATAAACCAATTGATGCTTGGGGGTTACAAATGTTTAGAGAAGTAGACCTTTCTAAAAAACGCGATGATTTTTGGATAGCTCATCTTCTTGCCAAGTATACATCATTACAATGGACCGATCATCTCACAACTCCACTGTTTCCGACATCATTAACCCTAGCATTGTCAAAATTCTTAGCTGATAAGGTGGCATGGCAGGTAAAACTATTATACCTAGGTATTTACGAGGTTAAGAAAATTAATAACTGTATTAATTATTTTAGTTGGAGAAACCAGTGTTCAATTCATACGTAAGTGACATGTATGGAATGTATTTAGAATACGATAAACCTGGTTTTACAGAAATAAAATCACAAATGGAAGCTCTGAATGCAACAAAAAGTAATAATTACATATTTGATCAATTAGTACAAATAACCAACTATTTATGTTTTTAGTTCGCTTCGTATTGGGAATGCTCGAACATATATTTGGGCCTCATTCATTTCGACAAACAATCCAATATTTTATGTCTAGCAAGTATGTTTATAATTAAAATACATAACCAATCATTTCATCAAGTATTTTTAACTATAATAATTTTTTTTTCGATAACACTCAAATAGTTAAATTGTTTATTTTCAATAATGAGTGCATAGAATTCAAAATAAAATAAGTCATTTATAAATCACTTATTAAATCTACTTGGACTAAGGTTGATAAACTAGGGAGTGTTGCTAAAATAGTCAATTTTAATAAAATTGAAACACTTAAAAATATCTCATTAAAAAAAATTTTTTAATGCTCTATCAATTATTTCTAATTTTACTTTCAGTAATGATATTCATATGAAGAAAATTGACGATAAAGCTAAAACTTTTAGCAATAAATTTATTATTAAGCTCGTGAGCCACCCACTCTATCTATAAAAAGCTTACACATCTCAACCCTTCCAGGAAATTTTCTTTGTAGGTTAAATGCAATACAGATTATAACCTACTCGTATCTTAGTAATGAATGTAATTATGATAATTTTGTAAATCGATATGAACTTTCATTAATAGATGGCTTCTTTAATCATGTTAATTGGCAATTATGTATGATAAAATCAAAGCACTGATAAATAACTATTGTTGTAAATCTTAATTTAAAAAAAAGTGATTTTTATAGTTAATACAATAATAGGTATTTAATTATTTATTTTGTAACATCTATATGTTCATAAATATTAATTAGAATTATATTTTGAATAAAACTGTTAACATTCATAAAGTTACTAATAAAATATATATTTTTTAAAGAGAATATCATGCTTACTCTGAAACTGATTTTTGGAACAAGTTGTCTGATGGAGCATACCACGCTGGTGTATTGATCAGAGTATGTTATAAGATAAACTTAATATGTCAATTATTTATGTATAAATTATATTTTATATTAACTTATAGTAAAATTTATAATTTAATATTTTAGAATAAAACTCCAGTTTCGATTGAACAAATAGTAAGGCCGTGGTTACAAGCTGATAGACTACCTGTAGTTACATTTAGGAGAAATTACGTTAACACAACCGTTCAAGTTATGCAGGTAATATAATTTAATAATAATAACAAATATGGTATCCAAAGTAATTACAATACAATATAATACCATATATGTTAATTAGGAACCATTTGTATTAAATGACGACGAGGATGACGTGTCATCTCCTGCAAAGAACACTAAAAATTATTTATGGTGGATTCCCAATATTGTTGTATCACAAAATAATTTGACCGTACCAGTTAGAAATATAAGTTGGTTGAAACCAATAGCAAGTCAAGAAGTAGAAATGAAACAGTATAATTTCACAAATAATCAATTTGTACTCTTCAATCCAGGAAGCTTAGGTAGGTCATCGTTATAATTTCGCAGTATATGCAAATGTTTAAACGATTTTATTTATTGGTTTTAAAATATATGTGGTTGAGTTTTATTTAAATAATAATTGATAAATTTACCATTATTTTTCAGGACCATTTATTGTCAACTATGATCTAAAGAATTGGGAACTGATAGCCCAACATTCCAAACGTTTTCCAGTTAGCATTCGTCAACAGTTGTTGCACGATTCGCTAACTCTGGCTTTATCCGGCCGTTTGTGTTATGTATATGCATTTAACGTTAGCAAACTTATCGAGCAAGAGCCCGAGCCTGCTGTTTGGAAAACATATTTTGGACTGGCTACGAGATTACGCACTAAGTTCCAAGGAACACCAGTAGCTCCTAAATATGATGTCAGTTACTAATGATCCATCTATTACAGTTACATATTTACATTTAAAATATGTAATATGATTTTATTTTTAAACAGATATACTTGAAAAAAATGTTAAAATCTGTGAACGCTGCGCTAGAACAGCCGGAAAGAGGAGAATCCAGTTGGAAGGCAAATTTCCGTGCAGAAAATAAACGTTTGCTGTGTGAAACAGGACATCCTACTTGTCTGACAGAAGCTCGAGATGTCCAATCAAGAACGAATACCTCAAATCCCGATGAGGATAAATTGTACGTTGAATTTTTTATTACAATCGATTTAAGTAAATTTTCGGGTGTAAGCTTTATAGGTATTATTTGGCTTCTTATTTTGTTTTTCGAGAGAACTATTGCTACTTCATAGTTTCATATTTTAATTTTAAACAGGTCAATTTCTTTACGAAATGTACGACATCAAACAATATACAATTTTTAATTTTTAATTTTAATCATGATAATAATAGTACTAGAACTAAATTTAATATTATTGATTGTATAAGTATAGTACTTTTTTACTAAAGCGCAAATTATATATATACATAAATAATCTCATTACAACTATTTTAAAAACTAAAGAATTTTATAACTAAAAAAAAATAATTTTACTATACAATTGTTATAAAATAAAAATCCCAGTTTCTTATATATTTATACTTTGAAATTACGGAAGTAATATACCTATTTACCTTTATTCTGATATTATATATATATTATTTACGATAACTGATATAATAAGTCCACTGACAACTGCATAAACCTCAAATTGAGACCAAATTAGTGCAACGAATAAAAATAAAAATAGAAATTTATCTATTTACACTATCTATAAAATACTAGTAACTCAACTAAAATGAACATAGTTATATAATCACTAAGGGTCGGGTGTTATGGGAAGTAAAATAGGAAAAATACGAGTATGCACGATAAGTTGTTAAATATGCATGAAGAAGTGTTGAACATGCAAAATAATATTTTTAAAAAATACCGTAAAATGTCAGTTGTGTACAACAGATTTACTAATGAATAAATAATAAATCGATAACTTACTTATCAAAGATAACATCATATTTCGCATATTAGCGCGATGCCGCGATTTATATATCAAATTAATATTAGACTGTGACGAAGACAGTAAATATGCCTTTGTAAAATAATATAAATTTTAAATTTAATATTATTTAAAATATATATATTAAGAAATAAATACAATTTGTTTTACATAACATTTAATATGCTTATAATATGCTGTGAAAATCAATGAAATATGCATTTTTTTTAATTTTTGACTTGCTATTGTATAGTTTAAATTGTTAACTTTGTCTACTAAAAATTGAGAGTTAATTGAACAATATGTAATTTCTACAATTTTTAAACACTAGTAATGACTAAATTATTCATTTTTTGTTTGTTACATTTATATTAATAGATTCTTGGATAATTACTTGTGTATACTTCTTGGATATGGAACACTGGACGAATGGGAGTTTGGATTACATAGAATTATGTACTATCCAAAAAATAAGTCTCAAACAGAAAGATTATTTATATTTAGATCATTAGCTAGCTGCCCTAAAAATGAAACAAAATTTGTCAGGTAACTTTTGATAATAGTGTCATATTGAAATAAATTAAAGCTAATTATAATTTAAATTGTATTTACATGTTCACATGTACATAAAGAATGTTGAATTTGACGTTAATGAGTGGAGATCATAAGTTTAGTGAAGAGGATATGTTAACAATGTTGACTGTCATGAGCACAGTATCATTGGGACATGAAACTATGTTCAAATTCATGATGAAAAACTTTGAATATCTAAGCACTAAGTAAATATAATTATTATGATAAAGCATATGTATGCAAATAATTGTATTTTTCGAAAACTAATAGAATAACAATAATGTTGTGGTTTTTAGATTGGAAAAGACTGTATGGGAATATTTTGTTAAAACATCATTTAACAATTTTAGAACAGAAGAAGGATTAAATAAGGTTTGTAGCGATCTTCAAAATATAATTTTGTTAATTATGTATAGCACAATTGATGTGTTTTTTTTTATAGGCCACCGAGTTTTACCAAAGAAACAAACGGCATTTTGTTTCTGTGGATGATATTATAAAAAATGCACTGGAAAAAGTTAGGATTCAAGTTGATTGGGCAAGGAAACATCTGACACCCTTGGACGGGTGGCTCACAAATGCTTTACAAGAGCCTTGGAGACCACACGAATTCCAATTTAGAGATGTACCATCATTTGTCGTTGGATAAATCAATATATTTAACACTAAAAATTACGTAATATTAGGATTTTAATTAAGTTAATTTTTTCCAATTTTAAAACATTTTAAGATGTGTATAATAATAAACGATTTTCTATATTCATTTTATAACACAATATGTCACAAAATATTTTATTGAACTACCACTTAAACGATGCATTTTCATTAATAATAGTAGCAGCTTCCAAACTATTGATAAATTCAATATATGACGACTTCTTAGAAATGTGTACTGTTAGTTTGCCACAATGGTTCTGTGAAAAAATAAATAAATACAATACAAAAAGATGGAAAAATTATACAAAAAAAAAAAAAAAAATGTATTATTTATATATAAATTATTGTAAATATACTTTTTCGAAATTAATACAGGAGTTTAAAATATCCGAAGTAGAAAGTCTGGCGATGATCGTATTGGCCGCAAGTTGAGTATTATTAGGAATGTAATCTTTTAACGCATTTAATTGGTTCATAAGTACATCTATCGGACTGTTTATTTTTTTCTAGAAAAATTCATATATATTAAATAAATTTATTAATTGATTAATAATAAGTTATAAAAAACTATTTTTAACATATATAATGATTAATATATATAATAATCGACTACACTTCAATTGAACTTTTGTACAGTATTTTTGAGTCATCAGAAATGATAATGTATTTTTTTAAATTAAAGTACAATATAGGATAAGTATTATCAATAAATTTTTTTTATATAACATTTATATCACAATAAGTTTTATGTGACAACCAACAATTTGTTTTAAATAAATAAATGGTATAAATTGTTTTCATTATTATTTTGATGATTGTGGATATATTTAATATACTTTTGAATTATATTACGAGGTCCTCCGAAGTATAGCCTTTACTAGCGATTTCAAGTGTGTAACATATAATTACTTTTTCCTCTGCATTTCTACACAATTGTTCAAAATCGACGTTATCTACAAGTTTTAAACGTTTTTTATTATCAGACGGACAGCCATCCAGTAATAAAAGATTGACGGTTTCACCAAATCCTTCTATTATTTTAGCAAGTTCGACCGCAATGTTTCCACCCCATGTTTCGCCAACGATTGTGAACGGTCCTTCCGATTGAATTTGTTTCAATGGCTATAAATAAATGATGCTACAAATATGAGCTTTTAAAAATGCATTGTATAATAATTACCCATAGTAAACCTAGCGCTGCATTTTCGACCGAGTTCATGTACGATGGAAATTTAGCATAAAAGACTGGATGCATAATTTTATTGATTAAAGGTTGTATTCGTGAAACTCCTAACCCAGGAATAATAAACACCGGTAATAGACTATTATTGCCAGTATTCGGAAGACCTTTAGATGTACACTGTTCAAATTGTGGATATTCCGGTAAATCTATATAAAGGTCGAGTAATTCGTCGATGGTTTTAGGTAAATATTCTGAGATTAAGTCAAAGTTTTCTAAATAAAAAAATGTATAAAAAAATTATTAATTAACATATTATTAAAATGACTAAATATATAAATCTAGTATTTTAGATCATAAACTTACCATGTTCAGATATTAACGGATCACTGAAAACAACTGAAATTGGTTTAGAATCAATTATAGAATCTACCAATTTATTCATGTACCTTAAAATGGTTTCTGGTTTTCGAACGGATTTATCACACTGTACGTTAATGCAATTAGAATGTGCGTCGTTTCTTGACTCACAAACTTCGCTTGCATCACTTTGCAGGCATATGAAATGTTTTAAGTCTGGTAAAACATTTTTACAAGCTTTGTCAATGTTCTTTAATTTTGCGTCACTCTAAATATGTATGATAATAAAATTAAAATAGATTTTTATATATATTTGTATATTGTTATATTATATGTAGTTAAACTTACCATTTCTACGCAAAATAATGCCCCAATTTTTGAATATGATGTGAATTCCTGTAATAATTTTTCCCCTTCTTTTATAGTATTAAACCTTTCAATTGAGGTTATAATGAACGAAACATCGAAATACTTTTGAATTAGTGAATTTATAGTTCTTTGACTTCTTCTTATTACTGAATTGGTACCATTAATGATAAATATCAATTTTTTAACGTCTTGTTGTAAAAGCCAGTTAACGGTTTTAATCCATAAATTCGTCGCTGAACCAATAATTATATATGCCATTTCTTTTTTAATAAAACTATGATCTGAATTATTTGTTTTAATTATTTTTTCTGTATGATGGATACTAAATAAAATGTATAAAAAAAACTGACAATAAATTTTAATGAACTATGTCGAAAATAATTTCAATCACAAAAAAATTTTCGATCATACTTGTTAGTAGGTGTTGTATTAGTGTTTGGTATTTCTTCATACAATCTGCTAACTATTTTATCCTTGATACCATTTTCAACAAGCTGTTTGAGATAGTTTTTGGTTTCGACGGAAGAATTTACTATGCTTAATAAGCCTTGTACACCGTACAGTGAAATATTTTTTAAAAACATATACATACCTGTGAAAAATAAATAAGTTAAAATGTAAGTACATTATTAATTGTATTTGTGTTTTAACTATTATTCTTACCAATTTCTGTGTGAACATTTACATCTTGTGCACCGATGTGTATAAATGAGCCAAACGGTTTTACACATCGAAGAGAAGCCCATAGGAATTTGGTTGGTATAGCATTGATAACGATGTCGCATCCTTCCCCCTTTGTTAAGCACCTTAGTTGTATTTCAAACTTGTTATTATTGAGATCTAGTATGTTGCCGCTACTCAACTATTAATTGTTGCAAGAATTCAACATTTTTCATTTATCTAAGTTTAAATGTTAAGTCGCTAAAACTACTTTTGAAGTATTATTCATTACCTTTGGAAATAAACTTTTTATAAAGTCAGATTGATCATTATTATATGTAGTTACGTAGATCTTACAATTAAATCCTAAGGCAACTCTTATAAATGCTTGACTATCCGGTGAACACCCATTATGTATAAGAATTGAATCTCCAAATTTGACACGCGCTTTGATTACCATACAATAGTAGGCCTTTTACAATTTTGAAAAAAGAATAATTAAAATTTTTTAGAAAATAAGTTCAAACAATTATTATTTATTACCATTGAGTAAGCTAATGGACATTTTACTGATTCTTCTAAGATCAATTCAGAATCTACATACCACTTCAATATATTATCAATTTCGTATCGCTTATTTATAGTTTTATATTTTAAAATACCCATTACGTTTTTTCCTTTATTATCTATACCGGAGTATTGAGTACATACTTCGTCTTCCTTTATTAACACGATTAATAATATTATTAGAAGTAATATAATATATAGCAATACAATTCATTATAATATTAATAAGTATTTGTTACCATTATATTTGTTCTGAAAGATTCCATGTATTTGATGGATAATTCACTAAAATTAAATAAATGTTTAAAAATGAAAAAATGAAAAACATTTAAAATTTTTATTTTTTGAACAAACCTATCCGAGTTAACATATTCATGCAACTCATTGGCATTTAAATCTGTAGAGAAATTGTCCATACAAGGAAGTATATTATAACTTCCCCATTTCTTATTTTTTAATATGTTTTGCCTTAATCCTTTGAAGAGTTGTTCTCTAAAGAAGGTTTTGGTTAAATCAAACGATTGTTCATCATCGTAAAGTATGACATATCTAAAAATGAAAGCAACGATGAATTGTAAATTAGTTTTCTAATCTAAATATGATATATTTACTTAAAGCCAATTGCAGATTTGATATTTTCAATTTTGTGTATCACTTGCAAAGAATTTTCTGAATCAATTTTAATCAAAACTAAAGGTGAAACGTTACTAGATAATGACTTAAGTCCTTGTTCTATGTTATCTGTCCATGAACTATTTTTAGTGTTAATCTCTAAAATTTTATTTGGTAATTTTACTAGCCGTGTTATTAGACGATAAATAGAACCATTATGTTCGTATTGAACAATTGTGGTAAATGTATCATCAACCGTTAAATTTTTTATCAAAACAAATACTTTTCCTGTACATTTTTTAATATCTTTGTTTAATTTCTCGTTTAAATGTTCAGTTACAAAAAGTAGTACATGATTTGATTCTAAATCTGTTATTTGAAAATTTGAATATTCTTCAACATCTGCCTAAAACACAAACAATGCAATAAATATTTTAGATTGTTACGTAATTATAAGTAAGTAACAACCTTTAAAAATGGCTGTATTTCAAAAAGTCTTTTAAACGATTCCACAAATATACCATCATTAATTTTTAATTTTGTTTTTAACTTAGATGACGTTGGATGAGCTGTATTTTTGACTAGTTGCATACAAATGCTTAAAAACTGCGTAAAATTCTGAACAAATAAATAGTATGAATAACAAATAAATAATTTAATTATAATTACTATTAAAAATAATTATTTATAAAAGTTACTTGAATTTTGGGATTAGGTTGTTCGATAAACTGAACTTTTTGAATATTCAAATTTATGGGCATTGGTTCAATTGTTGGAAATACGGAAGTTTTTAAAATTTCAATTTCTATCCCTGGCCCTCTGATAACATTAGTTCGAGTATCAAATGTAATATAAACCAAAGAACCGTGGTTAATATTTTTCATTATTTGTCTATCGATAACCAAACTTCTAAACCAAGATGGAAGCAAAGGTAAGTCATGATGTGATTGCAGATCAGCAAACATTTTTAACTGCATCATTGAGTTGAGATCGATGTTAAGATCATTCTTCCAAAATATATTAGCCAGAAAACCTAAAAACTTATAAATAATGTAGTAATGCAAATATTGTGATTTGTAAGTAAGTACCTATTATGCATTTTATAAAATACAATACCTTTATCGTGAATTAAAATTTTTTGAATGGTACAATAAGGAGTTGTGATATTAATATTATTTTCATAAAATACTCTATATATTTCATTATCTGATATCCATTCATTTTCAATATTAATTTCATAATCTGTTGGCGGTTCTGGGCTAATCAGATG